GAGGAGGTTGACCTCAGAGTAATGGGGATAATTCAGGTAATTTTCCTGCAGGGCTTTTGTGTAACCCTTTGCCATAGTTGGCAAGGTGATCACTGCCTGGGCCAGCCTTGGAGGAGCAGAGGGGACTCCTGGACTGAGGCACCCAGCAGTCTCTGCTCCCTGGGTTAATTCCCATTTTCTGTTTTCAGCAGCCCAGGTGAAACCTTAAATGGCAATAAGAGACCTGTGGCAGTGTGGGCAAATCCCTTTGGCCCCAGAGGACTCTCCAGGCCTCCATCTCCATCCAGCTCCCGCAGGGTTTTGGACTCACATTGCATCTGATCCAGGGCACCATTTTCTTTGGGAAGCTGCTTTGCTCTCTTCATCTGATTCAATTCTCTTGGTTTTGCACAAACAGGATTTAGGTGTATTTATCTAATCTAGGAACTTGAGAGAGTCCTTGTCTCCCTTTATCTTTCTCCAGTGGCAGACAGCACAAAACTTGTGGAAGCATGAGGGAAATGGTTCCTGCTTAAGATGTGAAATCTTAAACAAGTGCAGTGTGTTCAGTGTGTCAATGAATTGCTGTGTCTCTGCAAGGCATCTTCAGCTTCTTTCTGTCCTGGCAGGCAGGTCAGTGCTTCCCACACCAGTTCTGTAATCTACCTCTGTGTGCAGATATTTAAAAAAAAAAAGAAAAAGTCCAAACCTTAGTGTTTCTTGTCTTCCTCACAATGGTGCACTTTTCCAAATAGCTGCAGTGGTGTGTTCTGGCTTTGGTCGTTTGTTTTTTTTCCTGCAGTAAAAATTTCACCTTTTCCCCCCCCCCCCCTTAGGACTTGGCTACTAAGAAATCTGCTAAAGCATTTCCTCATCATTTTGCAAAATGACAATTGCTTGGTGTCTAGGAGAATTTTAAAAATCTGCAGTTGGGATCACAGGCCATGAAAATGGATGTGACTTTGACTGCACCTGCTAAGCAGAGATACCTTTGTATAGGATTTTCACCCCCACTCTTCTCTTTCTTCTGAGAACTAAAATTTAATTACAGAGCTTGGGAAACTCTTCACACTGTGTAGAGACTGAGCTAAACAAAACAATGAGAGGAAAATGAGAGGAAGGCAGGAACAAGAATTGTAAAATACCACCTCATACTTGAGATTTCTGTACTACTCAAAGGTTTCATTCACCTCCTTCTTAAATGGGAGGGGATGTGTGGAGGTTGATGGGTGTGAATACTTATTATTTTATGCAAAGGGGAAAAGAAAGAAAAGGTGGCTTTCAGTATAATTTATAGAGCTAATGGGTAGATCTACCTGGTTATTAAATCCTAAAGCCTTGGCTGAGCTGAGTAATGAATGCCATTTTACTGCTGCTCAGAAGTCCTCTTTCCTAATGACTTCAGACCTACAAGTCAGGTCCTAGCAGAAGTTGTTTGGAATTTAACCTTGGTAATAAATGTTGAGATAGTGTTCTGTTAAAATAGAGCTGCTTTTAAAAAAATAATTGCTACTATTAGGGTTACTAGCACAGGAGAGGGAAGGGCAGGAGCAGTTATCTGTGATCCTCTTCTATCTCCATTTGAATTTGGCAGGATTGTGCATCTGAAGGATGTGAAGGTAGATCAGAAAGTTCATCACAGTATCTGCTGGCTGTAGCCATAGTGGAGGGACAGATGTGTTAAACTGCACATTTTCCTACAGGGACTTTCCAAATAGTGCAGGGTGTGAAGTACCAGTAGAGGGTATGTTAAGGGTAATAAATGAGCTAAGTTTGCTTGGGGTTTTGTTTTTGTTCTTTTTTTTTATAATACATATTTTTAAATTTTATTTTTGGGTAATCCTTATACATAATTTGTTTTAAATAAATAAAAAAGATTCCCAAGGGAGTTTCCCTCAGAACTTTTCCAGACTGCTCTTGTAGCTGTCACCAAAATATTGTGTTTGCTTTGGATAACTGAGCAAATTACAAATTAAAAGCTTAATAAAAGACAAGCAGTTAATAAGCGTAACTTGGTGCAGTATAAACAGTTGAAAAAAATTAAGTCTCCTCTCCCAGAGCTGCCAAATCAGGTCAAATGTCAGTTTTTGAAACAGTGCCTAGTTCTTGAGTGTGTGTTTCTACATGCTTTTGGAGAGGGTAGAATGGAATTCTCTTCTGGGGTTGAGGCTCTACAGATCCTCTCCCAAGTGCTCTTAAATACAATCACAGAACCCCAGAATGGTTTGGGTTGGAAGGGACCCCAAAACTCATCCAGTCCCACCCCTGCCATGGGCAGGGACACCTTCCACTGTCCCAGGCTGTTCCCAGCCCATCCAGCCTGGCCTTGAGCACTGCCAGGGATCCAGGGGCAGCCCCAGCTGCTCTGGGCACCCTGTGCCAGGGCCTGCCCACCCTCTCAGGGAGGAATTCCTTCCTTAATACCTCATCTAAACCTTCTCTCTATCCATTTAAGATCATTGTCCCCTGTCCTGTTTATTTTATGTATGTTTATTCATGTAAAGGTTATTTATTAAACCTCTTTGTACAAACCAAACATCTTTGTTTAAACACAGAGGACACTTTCTGTGGGACATGTTATGTCCTTGAAGGGATGTGAGGAATCCTTTTCCTTCTCATTTCTAGCAGGATTTTGCCTCTTTATAATGCAGGGTACATCCTGCTCTGCTGATTTTTTTTTGCCTCTGATTATTCAGTGTTGCACATAAGCAGCTGTGCCCAGAGAGAAGTGTCCCCCATTAATCAGGAGCCATATGGCAGGTGAGGATGGAATATTGCAGCTCTGGGCTGAGCCCCTCCTGTTCATACACACACACACACACGCTGTGAATGCATCCCTGCCAACAGCACAGCTCCTTCAGCCCGGGCTGCTGAGTGACAATGGCCTTCCTGGGGCCTTCTGCCTTCCTCACTGAGCTCTTGCTTCTCTTAGGCACTGTGAGAGCCCAGTTCCCTGTGCAATAAATAACTCAGTAGGGACAGAGGGAAAAGCCAAGGATGCTCTGAGCTGTCTGCACTGCCCTGGTCTTGGATGTTGTACAGGTGTGTGTGTCCAGTGCTGTTTCCCAGCCCTATGCTCAGTTCCTTGTAGTGATCCTTCTTTTGGAGAAACACAGGAGTGGGAAACTCAGATTATGCCCTTTCCTGACCATAGATGTGGCAACTGAGAGGTGTTTTAAAAACTTTTTATTCCATTTCCAGTCTCATGAGAAGGGTGAGACATTACAGATGTTATAATTCACCCAAGACAATCAGAAGCTGTTTTTTAATTACAATACCCTATAAGTGTTTCTTGGCCTATCAGCTTTTGCCACACCTCGCTGTAGATGCCTTAAAGCCAATCATCTAAAATTACCCCTCGTGGGTCCTACTCCAGTGCATCTTTCATAGTTCTGTTTCTCCAAAGCATCTAGTTTATTTGCAAGGCCATCCTTTGAACTCGTTTCTAGTTCCATTTCTCTCTCAGGAATGTCTGTCCTGTTCCATGGCATTTCTAAGTCAGCATTTCTTATCTCAAGGTTTACATACAGATCTGTGAGCCTTCTGTCAGGCTTGGAGAATTCTCTACAAATCCATTTCCCACAGGAAACAATGTGCAAGAAGCCCTCAGTGAATTCAGTTTGCACCACAGCAATCATAACCTGCATCTATGGATTGAAATTGCCTGGGTTTGGGAACTTTATTGCAGCTGAAGATGGCATTAGCTTTGTAGTGTTCAGTTTTTAACATAGCACACAGCTGGATAAGTGTGGAAACGGGTGGGCTTGCAGCAGAGTGGGAAAGTCACTACACACACTATTGCCATTAGTAGTTGCCATATTGGACCAAAGAAGAGCAGGCAGCCTGTTCCTAATGAGGACTGGGATTTCTGCAGCCCTGTTTGTAATAGGATATTTCTGGCCTTAAGTTCCATTGAGATTCTGAGCACTTTGCACTTTGAGTGCATCACAGAAGTCCATAAATCAGCTGAAAATGAAATCACAGTTTCTCATGGGTCATAGGTTTTCTTTGATCCTTTTGGATTTTAACCATGGGATAACCTTTATCCCTTCACTGGTGGAAAAACTCAACAGCAGAAAGCCAAACCTTCACAAGGGGGGAGCTGATCTTAAGTGTTTGAAGCGTGGTGTTGGAGCCAGGGAAATATTGTTGTGTTTCAAGCTTGACTGAGGCACAGAGGTCATATTAGTGCCCCTTCCTGGTGTGCTGTGATATCTAGCTCTGGGTGGTCTGTGCCAAGACACTTGGGATGTGTTTGAAAGGCATCATTTTATGTATTGGCAAACCTGGAGCTGACAAGTGACATTGTTTGAAGCAGGACCATGCCTTGCTGTGCTCCTATGGGTCGTGGCAGTGGGATTTTGTGCCCTTCCTAGTAAAAGCAGAGCCTTGGTAGAAGATTTCAGTGCTTCCATGGCCTCTGCTCTCCAGGCATCTCCAGTGTACCAGGACAGTGTTCATAACCTCCTCATCTACTGCGTGCATTTTTTCAGTTGTTTTCTTTTTCAACAGATGTGAGTACATAAACTTCCCACGTTTTCCTGCTTTATATTCTAGCAGCACACAAAAATGGGAGCTGGAAATGCAGCAGAATGCACTCTGGAGCACAGGCCCCTTGGTGTGTTTGGGGCGAACATATTTAATACCAGGCTGGGAGAGTAACATGCCAGGAATGTGGTGTCTGCCTGGCAGACCTGCTTGCACAGGGATCACACCATGTCAGAATTTCTCTTGCTCAGCATCTCTGTGCTTTATAAGCACAAACTACCAGAACTCTGTGGTTTTCCCAGGATACAGAAGTTACGGAATAGCAGGCAGGCTTTGTGCACCTAAGCTGTAGCTGGTAATGGCAGACAGACTCTTCCACTTCATTGCCCAGTGGAGATTCTGTGGAGCACTCACTGTAAGGACTTGGGGAGAGCTGGGGGCAGCTGGCAGAGGCAGCGTGGGGCTCCAGCAGCTCGCTGCCCTGGGAGCCCATCCCTGCTGTGCCCGGGTAACCCTGCTGTGCTTCCCTCCAGGAGGACTTTCGCAATAAAGTTGAAGATTACATTAAGCGCTACGCGAGATGATGAAGGGGGATGGATGGCAGGACCACGGCTCCAGAGCTGTCCTTAGCTCCAACAGCAGCCAAACCAGCCCGGGTTGTACCAGTCCTGTGTCCATGTTGTACCGAAGAAGAAAACTAACTTCATAACCTGTCCATGTTCAAAGGAGAGTTCAGCATAAATACAGCAAGAAATTGTGTCTGTTGGTTGAAAAAGTTGTCTGCTTCCTTTACAAATGTTTACTCTTCTGAACTGTACTGTATATCCTGTTGATGAGATATGCTTGAGAAGTTAAAAGAAGTCACTATTGAAATTGTAATTACACTTTTTTTTAAACACTTGCCTAATCTGGAGGGAGGGAAGGAAAAGGAAAAAAAAAAAAAAAGAAAAAAAAAAAAAAAAAAAAAAAAAAAAAAAAAACAAAAAACAAAAAAAAAAAAAAAAAAAAAAAAATTTGTACAGCTGTACCTTCTATCTGGAATATTAAAACTAGCTGAAACCATGTCTGTTTCTGAGAGAAAAAANAAAAAAAACCAAAACCCAAACAACCCAAGCAGAAAAGGTGGTGTGTTTTTGGAAAAAAAAAAGTTGGCAATAAATGGTCTCCTGTGAACCAAATCACAAAACTGTTAAAAAAAAAAAGCAGAAACAATATGAGCTTTTTCTAAGAGTCACTCAGCTGAGGCTTAGAGCTTGCCAGAGTGGAAGTGCAAAATGAGATTCTACTTCTGGTATTGAAGTTCTCAATGCTGTTTCATGTAAGTATGTTTTTGTCACAGTTTGGAATTATTACATTGTTAATTTAGGCTCTATTTGGGCTACAGGCTTTTTGGGTTTTTTTTTGTTTCTATTAATTGTGTGAAGTAGTTAAAAGAAATACATGCTAATATGTAACTTAAGTACATGTTTAGTATTAGTGAAATGATATATATATATATAAAATATATATTATATATTTCTGTGAAAAAATTAATGAAAGGGAGATTTTTTTAAAAAGAAATCTGCTTTTGGCTTTCCAGTCTGGATCTGGTGAGGGAGCATCAGATGCTGTTTGATCTTATGAAGGTAAATATAGGCACTGTTGCCTGGAGAGCACCTAATTGTGTTCTCCAGATTCCTGCACTGAAAGGGAATGACACAGCTGGAACCACAACACATTTCCCCCCCTGGTGCACACTTTGGCTTTCTTGATTTGGGAGGATGTGATCCTCAGTTGCCTTTTCTGTAAGGAGCTGGGTGGCTCTGAGAGCCTGCTGAGGAGAGGCTTCAGCCCATGTGCCAGAGTTCCCTCAGCATCCTCCAGGACTGGGATCACACAGAGGAGCTGATGGAGCCCAGCTGAGCTTTACAAACCAGGAAATAAATGTTTGTGTGCTTTCATGCAGAGCAAGCGTGTGTGTGACACTTGGGCATTGACTGTTGGGTTTTATTGCCCCTCCATTCTCTCCTGCTGTTCCTCTGCTGCAGATGCTGGAGGAAATGTAAACAATCTCCTTAAGAGCACAGCAGAGCTGGGTGCAAACTGTAAGCATGAAACTTGTGTGTTGAGTTTCCCTGTGCCTTTTTCTTTGCAGCTGCACCAGCTCCTGTAGCTGTTGCTGGAGGTCTGGGAAAGCAGGGAGGTGAAATGCAGGGGCTGGCATGCAGGAGGAGAGCTGCACCTGCAGGCACTGTTCACAGGGAAACACGGATCAGCCCAGTCTTTTAAGCAAGCACCTGCAGTGAGAGATCTCTGCTGCCAAAACAGATGTGTCAGCAAAGGTAGGGGGTAAAACGCTCACAGAAATGGCGAGGTTGGAAATACATCTGGATTTTACCTATGACATTCAAAGGATTCTCTTATTCTTGAGTCAAAACCTCAATCAGGTTGGTGTAACAAAGTAGTTCTTACTGTAGAGGCACCCTGGTACTGTCCCATCCTTCACGAGGAGGGGTCACAGCCCCCATTTCTTGGGATGTCACCATGGATGGCTCCCCACTCATGCCAGGAAGCTGCCCAGGGAAGAGCAAAGCCGGGGTGCTGCTCAGGGGAGCCAGGCAGCCCTGTGAGCACAGAGCTGCAGCCATCAAAGCCATCCCTGCCTCCCAGAAAAATCCTGTCTCACCCCTTCCCTGTATTGTTGCTTGCCTGGAGGAGATGAGCAAAATAATAAAGTTTGGATACTCTTAAATACTGTACAAGAAAGTCTGAGCATTGGTTTGTGCTCATTCAGGACACGATGGGGAGGATCCTAGATCTCATCACCTCACAGTCAGGAAAATAAACTGAGTTTTTCCTGAAGGCAAGGAGATTTGGGGAGGGGGGGAGGGTTACATATTTACATGAATATATATTTGTTTATATGTGTTTTTGCGTGTATTTGTATAGGTGCAGCTAACTTACGCTTCTGCCAGAATCCTAGACTGGTTTGGGTTAGAGGGGGCCTGGGCTGGGTGGGCTGGGTGTCCCCAGGGAAGCCCTTCCTGAGCCAGCAAGGCACTGAAGGGGTCTGGAGTGGCCAGAGCTCTCAGGGTGGGGTTGGGGTCCCCATCCCAGGTGCTGCCCAGCCTCCCTGCACTGGAGCTGACCCTGCTCCTGGAGCCCCGACCTGCCCACCCACACCAGGGACCTCCCCAGTGCCCACCCAGGGCTCGTGGGGTGGGCTCAGGACTACTGGGAGTCTCTGGCATCACAGAATGAGGGCACTGAGGGGGACGCTTCACCTCGTTTATTCGTGTTTATTTATTTAGGTAGGAAAAGCACCTTATTCCCATTCCTTGTTAGTAGCCCCAGGGCAGCAGCGGCGCCACTCCTCCCCACGTTGTTCCCCACCTCCCAGGCAGAACGCGGTCCTTGTGGCGGGGGGAGAAGATGCCTTTCCACGCGTGGGGGAAGCCGAGGATGTTCAGGCACACCCAGACCCGCTGGTCTCACGCTGTCGATGCCACGCTGGCGCCGCGGGGCTGGCAGGATTTCAGCTCCCCACACGCCCCTGCGGTTTTTTCCCTTCGAAATTCCCCTGCTCGGCGCTCGCTGCCGGGAGGGGAGCGGCGGAGCAGAGCCGGGCCGGCGCGGGGCGAGCGGCGCTCCGCCAGCACCGCCGCTTCAGGGCCACTGAGCGGGACCGGCGGGCACACGGGCGGAGGAGCAGCGGCGGCGGCGCCGTCCCTGCCCCGGGGCTCGGCGCTGCTCCTCCGGCCGGCTCCTCCCGAGCTCCAGGGGAGTCCCGCCCGCCCCTCCCCTGCCGGCCGCGCCGCCCCTACACGATGCCCTCGCTGCGTTTGCTCCGCCACACCACCAGCGCCGTCATCAGCAGCGTCACCAGCACGGGCAGCACGATGAAGGGGCACAGCACGCCGTTCGGGGGGTCGTGCAGCGCCCGGCCCGACGGCGAGCAGTTCCTGAAGTATTGCCTGTGCACGGCCACGAAGAACTCGTCCACCAGCCGGTTGGGCCAGTAGCAGTCGAGCTTCTCGGCGATCAGCGCCGTGCAGTTGGTGAGCTCCCCGTAGGTGCTGCAAAACACAGGGACAGCGGCTGACACCAGCGCCCGGCCACGGCCACGGCACCTTCTCCCCGTACAGCAGGATCCATTATATATACCGTATATAAAATACAAAATAGATACTACATAATTTATAATTACTATAATATCAATATACATCCCATACATATATACATCATATATATCCTATACCCAATATATATATTAAATATAGTATCATTACTACAATACATCCCTCCCTGTACAATAATATTCTAATAATATTCTATTACAGAGGTGTGTACTTGAGATTGTACTACAGATAAGTGTTCTTACATTTTTTAGCTATTCTTTTGAGTTTGCAGCTAGATATTCCTAGCCCTATAAAAATATATAGCAGGTTTTTGGAAATTTACGTAACCTATAAAAATATATGGGGTTTTGAGTTCACAGGTAGAGAGTTAAAAAGGTAAAAGGGTGTTTTAAATTCCCACCAGTTTTGACACTTGGATGGCAACTTTCAAGTCTCACTCACAGCCAAAAGCAGTTTTCATTTATGAATTACGCGGTGGTGGTGGTTTAATTTATGGAAGGAAATGAAAACAGAAATAGTAGTTGCAGGAACACCAAGAAGCAAGTTTGGAGGGTTTTTTTGTTTGTATTGCATTAATTTTTGCAGAATTTCCTGGCCATACTGGTGCTATTAGAACATACAGGGCAGACCCACATTTTAAGCAGACCTTCAGGAAACCCATCCCAACTCGGCCTTCAGAGCACCATCCTCCAGCCTGTGTGAGTTCAGTCCAAGGAGGACAGAAAAAAGTACACTGAACCTACTTTAAATCTCCTTTAATTTGCCCAAAACTGAGGAGGTTGCATAGAAACCAGTTGGGCAGGCCCACCCCTCTAGGACCAGCAAGTCCATTTTTCCATTTTTTAAAAAAATACCTGGAAAAGCAGGAGCAGCCCTGAGCCAGAGCCACTGTCCTTGTGTCAGGTCATCCAGCCATCCTCTGGAATGACAGCTAAATTCCCCCTGCTTTAAAAATGACAGCTAAACCCTCCCTGCTTTAAAACTGGCCATGCATAAAAACAAAGATACAATTTCCCCCACCATCCCAATTAGTCACTGTCTAATCCTAGAGAAGCAAGGCAAAGCAAACCCCCGGCTCTCCAATTAGAAACCTGCCTGGGGGAAGAAATACTTTACAAGCAGCTTCCCAGCCCCTCTGCACAGCCCCAGCACAGCTCCTCAGCTGGGGTTTGGGGTTTTGGGGCAGGCTGTGCTCACACAGGCAGAGATTTAATTAACAGAGCCTGCAGCTGCTAAAAGCAGCTTCTGCTTGGCATCCCGATGTGCAAAATTACCATTTCCCGTTCATTAGCATCCTTAGGAGATCTTGGGAGCTGCAGCATCTTCAGGAGCCAGAGGAAAAGTGTTAGCAGGCGAATAAAAGCTATTTTTAAAGCTGAAGGGCCATAGTGCAGCTGGCTTAGCCCTTCCCTGGCTCCAGCTGCACTTCCGTGGGGATAAATCACTGCTCCCATCACTGCATGGGAAGGCATGCAAGGAACCAAAGCAGCAGTGCCAGCAAATGAGAGATAAACTGTCACTGCCCTTTCCAGCCAAATTCCAGCCAAATTCCAGCCAAATTCTAGCCAAACTGTCACTGCCCTTTCCAGCCAAATTCCAGCCAAATTCCAGCCAAATTCTAGCCAAACTGTCACTGCCCTTTCCAGCCAAATTCCAGCACTCAGCCACCACTGGACATGAGGAGGGACCCGATGAGAGGAGCTGGGCAGCCACAGCCCCACGGGCAGTGTTGGGGGACAGGGAGGTGACCGTGGGGCTCTGACTGGAGGGAGGTCCCTCCACCTTAATGGGGTGTCTTGAGACACCCTAAGTCTCTTGTCCCTTCTATTTCTGCTGTTTTCATTGAAGTCCCCCTGCTCCAAATGCATGCTCAGCAGGAGCAGGGGCATCATGGGCACTCTCAGCCTCTGGCCCCACACGCCCCAAAGACCAGTGGGGAGTGAGTGGGAGGGAAATAAACTGTTTTCAGGAACAGGTCCAAGTGCAGAAGTGACACTGAGGGCTGCTGAGCTCTTGGCCAGGGGAGAGCAAGGCTGGGTGCTGTTGAGGAGCTGATCTCTGCCCTTGGCTTACACAGAGCACATCTGACCATCACACTTCATCCACAAAGAGCTAAAAGCCAAGCTGAGCTCTCAGCTACGCCCAACTGCTCTCATTTCTTCCACTGCACCTCACAGACCCCCAAACGGCCCTGTGAGATTCCATCATCTCCTGTCCATCCCAAATGCACCAGTCACGGGGCACTGGGGCCTTCTCCTGTCACAGCAGGATACCAGCAGGATCCTTTGGCTGGGAAGGGATAACCAGGGTTAACCATGGGATCCAGGCTGCTCACGCTGCCCTGTCAGACAGGATCAGGATCAGGAGAGCAGCAGTGTTGATGCCTGGGCCTGAGTGTGCTCTTCCCTGCCACAGCAGTGAACGTGTGTCCCACTGCCTCTCCAAAAGAGCATCTGCTTCTCTCTCTGCTCATGAGCAGGGCCACGTTCCTGTGACAGCTCCAGGCCAGCCTGCTCCCACTGGGAATTCAGCCTGGGCTGGTGGTGAAATACCTCAGGAGGGGGGGTTGTTTTCCTGCGCAGCTCTGCCGCCCCCCAGCCCAGCCCCAGAGCGCCGTGTTCCCCCCACACCCACCAGGCTGAACAGGGCAAAGCTGAGCCAAGCCCCTCAGGCTGCAAGCATGATCCTGAGGCACAGAGTTAGAACTCTCTGGAGAGAGAATGCTCTGCCCAAGTAGGGATAAACCAGCTTGAACTTTACCCTGTTTGTGAAAGTTCCCATGCATGGATGGAGAAGGGGGGCGTTATGATTTGCCCACACGGGTAACAGCAATCTCTAGTCAATAATTATTTTGCTCATTTTAACAGCTTTGCTTCAATATTGTTTCAATAAACAGGGCAATATATATAACTTTCTATGCTATGTAGGAAATAATTGGATGCAGCCATACCCAGGCCCCACCCCAGGAAACGGAGGAAGCTAGGGGGTCCTTTCTTCATCTCCTGACTCAACAGCAGGACCTCCCTAACAAACTTTGTTCCAAGCTTCCATTCTGCCTGTAGCAAGCCTGGAGTCAAGCTTTTGGCTTTCAGACAGGTCCACAGCTTGTTTGCAAAGCCTCCACCTCCCAAACGCCATCTCCTCCAGAAAAATACTAAGCAGCCGCTCTAGGATAGCGCTGGGAGGAGAGCAGGTTTTCCCAAACAATCCCACCACTGCCAGGAGACAGACACCTGGCCCTGAAAATCTTGGCTGTGCTTTGGAATATTTTTTCCCTACCCAATGTGAACTGCAGTTACAACTGTTGTCCCTGTCACCATGGAAATGGGTTGGATTTAAAGGATGCTGTGGATGGACTGTGTGGGGATGACGGGCAGGCAGGATGGGGATGGGCTGGGCCACTGCTGGGAAGGAGTCAAAGAATGATTTAGGGTTTGATGGCATCTGAATGCTTATACTGCTATAAATCCCAAGGAATTCCTCTGGGGTTTTTTACCACTGCAGCGAAGACTGGAGTTGGCTCTGGCATTTATTCCTAGACAGCACTTGGATGTGGATGGTGTTGCACTAGGACTGGGCTTCACAGGATTGACAGCTCTCTCTTTCACCACGAGTATCCCAGTATTTCCTGTCCTCCCTCAATTCCTTGCTTCAGAAGGGAAAAAAGAGAACACCACAAGGCTTCACTTCTGCTTTGCAAATTAAAAGAAAACATTGATTTCCTCCTCTGCAGGGTGAGCCTGGAGCCAGGCTAAAGGGGTATCCAGAAGGGACCTGGCAAGCTGAAGATAAATAAGTAGATAATGAGATAATAAGAGAATGGATCAATCTGCTTTCTGTAAATAATGGAGAAATAACCTGAAGACAGTGTGAGTGTGCTGACAGCTGGGAGAGCAGCTCCATCTCTGGCTGCAGCTGTGAGAGCAGCACCATGATCCCCCTGGTGAGCTCCTTCCTGCAGAACAGGGGAAAGCATTCCATGGAGATTTTCAGGAATGCCACAGCGTGGATATATTTGGGATGAAGATGCCTGGCTGGGCCGGAGTGACACCCGCAGCTGTGGCAGTGCTCAGCACCCTGAGCATCCCCCTGTGCACAAACCCTCCTGCAAATCCATTCCCTGGCAGAGCCCTCCAGCCAAACCCAGCAGGACAAATATCCCCAAGTCATCAGCACCCGCTGACGCACTGGGGCTGGGCAGTGGCACCCCAGCCCCCACATCCCTGAAATAGCTGCCTCAAGGGAGACCACAGCTAATCCCCCTGGCTCAGCCAGCACGCCAATGAAGCTGGAATCAAAATAGCCAAGCTGCTCTTTGGGATAATTCATCGGGCACAGCTGAGCTCCTGGCCAAAGCAGCTTGGTCGCCAGCACGGAAGGGAGGAGCCCTCGACACCAAAGATCCCAAGATGCAGCCAAAGTGGGCAACAGCTCACACAAGTTCCCTCAGTCCATGAGAAGAACTTGTATATCAAAATCCACCCATTTTCCCTAAATAAGCAATGCTAAGAAAGCCAGCAGAGCTCAAGGGGTGGAAAAACCTCCCCAGAAAGAGCCCCTGGTTGCATTAGAACAGGAGCAGTGGTGCAGGAGCTCAGCTGATGCCACTGAAGGCGAGATGGGAGCAGCATAAGGAGAAACCCCCTAGGTAAGATTAGACAAAGCAGTTTATATGTTAACTTTTTATCTTACAGGGAGAAAACTTCTTTACTTTCTTTGTTTTATCAGTTTCTTCTTCTGTTAACTCAGTTGTTTAACCTACACACCAACTACTAAATCCACAGAGCGGCATGTACTGCCTATAAATAGGACCAGTGACCCAGGATTACAGACTCTGCTGAGACAATTCATTTATCCAGATGTTCCCATCGTGCCAGCCTCAATTGAGCAGGAAATTATGCAGTTTAGGGGCATTTCCCTGCTAAATGCTGCATCCAGGAAATCAGAGCTCCAAACACGATGCTGCTGCGGGTGGCACAGAGGCAGAAGCTCCCAACATTCCTCCTCCTTTCAGACAGGTTTCAAGCAACAAAATGCCTTGGTTTGGGGGAAGATCTGGAGAAAACAGGCTCTAGGCAGGTGCTTTATTTCCATTTCTTTGTCTCACACCTGGTGGAAGACAAAATCCTTTCCCTAGGGCCGGAGGGGTGACCAGCCAGCTATGCCACCCCCTGCCCACTCCTGCTCGGACATCTTTCCCTAAAAAGGGGATGGTGATTCCCACACATCCAGGGAGCAAGGTGTTGAGCCCACCCAAATCCCATATCCTTGCAGCTGATTTACTGCAGTAACTGAACAATTTCTACCCAATTCTTCCACTGTCCTGAGGGCACAAGAGGATCAGAGGAATGTCATCTCTCAAATAACCCTGAGCCATGTGTTTGCACGGAGCAAAGGGACTCAGGCAATCAAATTAAACCCTGCAAGCTTATCAACATTTCCTCCAAGTGCCTCAAGGGTAAGGAGTTCAGCTGAAGCTATTTAGGAGACAAACAGGACATGTGAGATAAAGAACAAGATGTTGAGGGCTGGAACAACATCAGCAGCCCTGGGTGTTTTTGAGCACCAGATGAGACCTCTCAAGACCAGAAACCTCCCACAGTCTTTCAGCTCTTTTCTTCCTCTCCATTCTACCACAGATCAAGGGGAAGGAAAACCCAACAGAGTGTTTACAGTCTCAGAATCATCCAATAATTAAGATTGGAAAAGACCTCCAAGATCCCGGAGCCCAATCTTTGAGCAAAAGATGCACACACAAACGTGTGTAGGTTTTAATTTCACTCAGAAGAAAGGGCCACAAAGCAGGAAACCACAGAAATCTCACAAAACCTCTTAATTTTTGTGCAAAATACTCATGGCATACAGCACCATCTGCTCCCTGTTTCCAGCTGACCCCCATCCCTACTGGTGTCACATGAGCTTGTTTTTGTTCCGCTGCTTCATTTTCCCAGGGAAAGGCCACGGAAAGGCACAACATGGAAATTCAGCAGAAGAGGGAAAGAGGGGGCTTATTCCCTCAAGCCCTCACACCAACACACAGCCACTCCTGACCTGTCTTTCAACTTCTCTCAACACCCTCTCAGCAGATTTACACTGTGGTGGTACCAAAAGATTCAGCTCTGCTGACTATAAATAGGAAAGAACTAATCCAAAGAAAGCACTGTTTGCAATAAAAATAAAAATAAAACCAGAGGAAATTCCCCCCCAAAAATGCAACAAACCCCTGCAGTGCAGCACATTCCCCACGTGTGTGGGGTGACCCCCCAGTCTCCCTGGTGGAATCTGAGCAGGGATCCCCTTCCACCCTCCTCATCCCACAGAGATGCTCCCAAGCATTCCACCAGGGAAGCAAGGCTGCATCTCTGCTGCTCCCAAGTCGTAAATCACAGCTGACACCCTGACACTGATTACAAACAGGAGGCTTAGCAGGCAGCTGCCATTGCCATACCATTCCAGCCTCTCCCTCTAGTTGCTTGGAAAAATCAACACACAGCTTCTGGAAGCAGGGGCTGAGCCAGCAGCTCTGGTGGGGCAGTTTGGGATTTTCTCACAGCGAGGCTCTGAGGACATCTCGGTGGGTTATGGGGTTTTCATGCTGAGCTAGGGAGTTTTGAACTGTCTGGAGAAGCAGAGTGCTGAGGAAAAATGAAAAACCTCCTGGGAAATATGGCCATCCAGCTGTGAGGCACCAGAAGCCCCCGTGATGGGGATCCCAATCTGCCTCTTCATTAACCCATCAATTTCCAGCACACAGCAGAGCCATGGTCTTCTACTGGAGCTCCACTGCCGTGTGGTGAAGCATGACCACCACCCTGACTTCCAAACCCTGCTCAGGCTGGGGTCCTTGAAAAAATCCTTCAACCCCAGAATGGCTGAGGCTGGAGATGACCCCTGGAGACCCACTTCACCTTGTCCAAACACCCCTGCTCATGCAGCTGGTTGCTCACGACCATGTTCAGCTGGTTTTTTAGTATCTCTGAGGATGGAGATTCCACATCCTTCCTGGGAGATCTGTGCCAGTGTTTGGCCACCCTCACAGTGAAAACACATTTCCTGGTGTCCAGAGGGGACCTCCTATGCCTCAGTTTCTGCCCACGCTTTCCCACCAGGACACTCTCCTGGCTCATGTTCAACCTGGTGCCCACCAGAACCCCCAGATCCCTTTCTGGTTTCTCTCTGGGCAGCCCCAGCACATCCTGGTGCCTGGGGCTGGACTTTGCCCTTCCCCTTGCTGAACTTGAGGAGGTTCCCAGCTTGCTGAGGTCCCCATGGATAGCAGCACAACCCTCTGGTGTTTCACCCAGCCCTCCTGGTTTGGTGCCACCTGAGGTGCTGGGGTTACCCTAGGTCCCATCACCCACAGAGAGATCAAGGAGGGCAGTGGTGACCCCTGAGTGCTGCAACCAGTGCTTGGCCAACAATCAAAACCCCCAGGCCTGACTGTTCCAGCAGTTCCCAGCCCACCTTCCCCAGCTTCACACACAGGCAGTGCCAAAAACCTCACCAGAGTCTGGGCAGACAACATCCACTGCTCTCCCCTCCAGGCCCTCCACGTGTGACCAGGCTGGAGAAACCCTCGGGGGCCCAGCATGGACAGAGGCAGGGCAGCACCAGCAGCCAAGCACAGTGACATCAGGGTGTTCCCCCCAGTGAAACAAACCCCAGCGCCGACACCCCCGCGCCCCAAAATCCCAGCTGGACGAGAGGGAGGAGCAAAGGGAGCTCACTTACCCCATGGTCTCGCCCCAGTCACACCAGAGGCGCTGGCCGATGCCCTCCATGCTGTCCTGGAAGTCCTTGAGGCAGTAGTGGCGGATCATCCAGCCGTAGTCGGCCTCCTGGCACGCCGTGGCCGCGATGAAGTGCTGGGCTGCAAGACAGGCCAGCCTGTCAGGCTCTGCTGGGCTCACACTCATGTCTCAGGTTTGGCTTTCCTATTTTTCACACTCTGGGCTGCTTTAGTGGGTGGGTCTGGGCTTCCTATTAGGGGATGGTGAGCTCTCTGCACAGAGCAGGGAGACAGAGCAATTCCTTCTCCAGCTGGGCACCAAGGACAAATGATCCGAATCTCAGGCCCAAAAGTACAAACAATAGTGAATTGAAAAGAGCAAAACAAGCAGGATGGGACTTCACAACCTAAAGCTGTAACTGGACAATTAACTCCAATATGCAAATGGAGCAGAACTTATAAAAGTGAGAGACCCCATGACCAGTTGTTCATTTTGTGACCATTTTGGTTCATCTTGGGTGCAGCCCTGGCTGGGCTCTTGTGCTGCCCAAGGTGGATCCATGGAGGAGATCCTTTTAATAAATCCCTGCTTTATTCTGTAACTCTGCCTGGCCTCTGTTCTAGGTCAGCCTCTCAAGGTATCAACAGCCTCACCACAGCCCCTCTCCTCACACAGAGGTTTCTGCCAAAGCACTGACACCAGAGCAACACCAGCTCTCCAAAACCTCCTTCTCACAGCCCTGAGAGCCTGGTGCTGATAAATCAGTTATTCAAGACATGTTGGGTAACTCATAAATTAGTAAGGATGTGGATTTATTCTCTACTGTCTTTGGACTTCAAATGTTCATGTTGTGGGCTTAAAACACAAGTGTTTTCAGGGTGTGGGGGAAGCTGGGGGATAACAGAAGCCTGCTGCTGACCCCTGAAAAATTATCTGCACAGTGCCACACTTGGGAACAAACATCTACCTCTGATGGAGCACAGGGACAGACACAGGGAAATCCATCAAATCCATCCCTGGCTGCACAGTGCTGACTGAATTCCCTCCTGGGAACATGTCCCTGCAACTGCTTTAAAAACAGGGATGAAAATGGTGCTGCTTACAGCCTCATGCACAATCAGTACAGTGTTGCTGGTGAGGGGAAAGGGAAAGGACAGTGATGCTATAAGGACAGTGCTTCCCTACAAAGGGAAGGGAAAAAAATCCTTTGGGGGAATGGTTTAGTGAGCCTGGCTATAAATAATAGCTTTCCCTTGGTGCCAAAGTGCCAGCTAGTGCCTTTGCAGCTCCTGGAGTGCACTGCAGGCAGGCACCACATACCACATCTATTTTTTGCTACGTGCGAATAACTCTCTGCTTTATTTTTATCTGATTTTTTTAACACAACAGAATTGAGCTGCTTATTTAGTGGCCAAGGGACATCACCAAGGGACACCATCCCTCTGCAGCCTCCAAAATCCTTAGAGCACTTTGGTACCAGCATCCTATGGCAATGGGTGGGAAGTCAGGAGCTGGTGGGAATTTGGGTGGGAAGGGCCCCCAGAGCCTTGGCTGATGTTCCTGGATGGGTGCAGGGCTCCCATGCTGCCTCTGACAGCAGCAGCCACTTTGGCCTGACTCCCATAAAACCATGGGAGTTACTGAGCCAAGAGAAGTAAAAGAGCATTAAACCCTCACTGTTGCAATAATAAAATTAAGTTTATCAAAATCTCAAGCTCTGCCTAGCTGATACCAGCCAGGAGCACAGACTCAGCCAGGGATAAGCCCTGCTCCCAGATGGGAGGGCTTGACATCATGAAGCAAAGCACCAAGATAAAAAGCAGAAGCAGAAGAAGTAGAAGAAGCAGAAGAGGAAGCAGAAGCAGCAGAAGAAGAAGCAGAAGAAGAAAGAAGAAGGAAGAAGAAAGAAGAAGGAATGTGCAGTACTGCTACATGAGGCAAACATAAATGATCTATGGACTGCAAATCTCAGTCCAGGCAGGCTCAAGGGTGACTGATGGCCAAGAGCCTTTTCTCCCCTTCCCATCCTTTCCAATCTGGATGAGCCAAGGGAAGGAGTGACACGGCTGAGTGAGCACCAGCATGCAAAGGAGGCTTAGGAGTCACCCCAGGGGTCACCCCTCGGTGACATCCGTGCACTGGACTGTGAGGGACATGTAAATACCACAGCCATCACTTGTCTGGACAAGCAGCTTGCAGAGAAAATGCTGCTGGGGAATGTGTCGGGTGCAGAGCAGAGCACAGCAAAAGGACAAGGGAGAGCAGGGGAGGAGAAGGGATTAAAAAGCAGAAAGATGAGCAGCAAAGGGGATTGAGGAGCACAGGAGGAAACAGAGAAGGAAGGAATGAGTGAGACACACAAAGCACAGAGAGAAAATGAGGAATAGGAAGCCACTTGAGGAAATTCAACAAGAACACCTTTAACCTTGAGTGGAGAAGGTGGAACACTGAACAGACAATGGGGCGGAAGCAACCACAACCTGGCTGCAAGCATGCTAGCTGGTAGCCAGCATGAAAATCAACCCTACTATTAAAAGAAAAAAAAAAAAACTAACCCAAAACCAAGTGAAACCCAAACCCTGGGGAGCTTTAAGCAGGTGCCAACCACAGCAGGTCAGAAGATGCAGCTCTGGAGGTCCTTCAGAGGCAGGTGAGCACCTTGCTGTCCCCCCTGGCAGCTCCTCAGTGCTCCCCAGGAGCTCTGCCTGCCCCACCAGGACCTGCTCCTGAAGATGCCTCTCCCACTGCATCTCCCAGACCTATACAGGAGACAGTGCCAAAAACCTCACCAAAGTCTGGGCAGGCAACATGCACTGCTCTCAAATCCCTTTGGTGGGCTGTGCAAATCCCTCTGCCCCAGGGACTGGGGAAACCAGAGCCATCAGCCAGTGTCCTTTCCCAAGGACACTGGATTTTGGACATGGTGAAAGGCTCTTTTGTTTCACGTCCAGCAGGGTCTGTTTTGTCTGTGCTGTGAGGATGGAGATGGGCACAGGGAAGCAGAAAACCTCTTTTGTTTCCAGCTGACCAGGAGAACTGACTTTAGCTGTAATTGCACAATTTAAGGTCAAAGTGAGAAGTTTCCACATGGTGCCCACCTCACCCCACAGATCCCTGCTGCTTCACAGATTTTCCCCCAACCCCACTTCAGACTTCAGGCTCAGGGTTTGTAACAATAGCGGGGGGAAAAAACAAGGAGGGATTTTTGTATCTCCTGGCTCTCATTCCAGAAGGTTTTCCTTCTGCCCTCAGCCCTGCTGATGGAGATGGTGTAAGTCAGCTGCAGTGAGCTGTAAATAACTCAGCTCCAGAGCAGTCACAGCTCTGCACTCAGCAGCATCCATCTGTGAAGGATGCAAGGAGTTGCTGAAGCACTGAGCTCCAAAACTCAACTGGACCAAGGCTGAGCTGCCTCCCCTCTCATGGGCCCTATCACTGCCATTCCCTCAGGAACAATGGCACTGAGAGCTGCAGGGATGCAGTGCTCCTCTGGGAGCATCCCACTGCAGCCATACAGCACCTCCACAGCCCAGCTTGGTCTTTAGGTGCCACAGGGACAGGGGGAATTACAGAACCCTGGAGTGGTTTGGGTCAGAAAGGACCTTCACATTTATCCAGTGCCACCCCTGCCATGGCCAGGGACACATTCCACTGTCCCAGGGTGCTCCAAGTCCCATGCAACCTGGCCTTGGACACTTCAGGGATCCAGAAGCAGCCTCAGCTTCTCTGGGCACCTGTGGAAATAAGCAGATACTCATCCAAAAGCTGAACCCCAAGGACGGCAGGTAATTGCCAAGTGACACTGACAGCAGGGCTGGCACTGGCACGTGTGGCACCAGCAAAGTTCTGAGCTCTGAGAACCAACAGCCCAGTATCTTTCCCTGGGCTTCTCCCAAACTCCCAGGGCCTGCCCACCCTGACAGGGAAGAATTCCTCCCCAATATCCCACTAACCCTGCCCTCTGGCAGTGGGAAGCCATTCCCTCTTCTCCTGTCAGGAGAATTGTTGATGAACAACCCTCCCTGCTGAGAGAATCCCTGATTGCCTGGTGAAAGATGCAATATTAAGGACCCTTCGTTTGCCTCCTCACAGGAAACACCTGGAGAGCAGTGGTGAGGAGGTGATTGGAGGGAGGGCTTTTGCAGGCATCCCAGATCCTCACGATTGCCCTGGGATTGATGTCCTGGAGAGTCCCAGCAAGCATCCACCAGGACTCAGCATACTGAGGGTTAGCTGCAAAAAGCCTGTCACACATTTATTTCAGCAGAAAAACAGTGATGGTCCTGAAGTGTTACAAAAAATTCAGGAAGAGGGAAAACAACTGGACTTTCTTACACTGAACTTCTCAGAGCTGGAGCCTGAACCAAGAGCTCGGGGCCACCCCTCCAAGAAACAGCTTTGGGACACCACCCCTCTGTGAGCCCACACATCTGTCACTGTGATGGTTCACCTGCAAAAATCCTTGAGCCTTCTCTGTCAGAAACATCCTGCACTTCACATCAGTATCCTCCTCCACAAACCCTGGCTCTCAGGCCTTTCCCTCCTCAGTGTTCCAGGAATTCTGGGAATTCTTGAGCTTCTCTTGCTGGGATGTGCAACCAACCCCTCAGGGAGGACTGTGGAGCCTGAGAACAGATTTGGGGATTTCACACTGGCACAGGGATGTTCCCATTTCCCAGGCACTTCTCCAAGTACCCCTGATGGTGCTGGGTGAACGATGAAACTGTTTGACAACACCTGCAGAGAATTCACCAGCTGGACTGTTGGGATTTTTGGGGGGAAACTGTTCAGGGCTTCACTGACAGCAGGGCTGGCACTGGCACATGTGGCACCAGCAAAGCTCTGGGCTCTGAGAACAAACAGCCCAGTATCTTCTCCTGGGCTTCTCCCAAATTCTCAGAGCTCCCCTGTGAAATGTTCAGTGCTCCCAACAAGCCCCAAATGGAAACAGGCTGTTTTCCTCTCCTCTTCAAGGTGGTGGTTTTGCCGTTTTATTCAGAACAAGCCTTGTGCTCTGGAGCTGACTGCAGAATAAAACACTCACAGGAGTGTGGGGAGAGGACATGGGGCAGGAGGTAGAAGATGAGCGTGAAAAACAGCACAGTTTGCAGCCACAAAAATGGAAAAACTGGCCCTTTCA